AACAAATTACACAATAACATCACCACTTTTTATCTTCTACACGGTGGCATTCCATAAGTTTAAACCAACTATATGAAGTTAGGCATTTGAAATTTTATGTCAATGCGTAACATGTTTCCATCTTTGATATTCTATGAAATAAATGACTATATGATAATTTCAAAGCTTGATCAGTTTTTTTTATAATAATATATGACATAGTATAATATTTGAAATCAGAATTAAAAGATATTCTCCTATGCAAAAATGGCATACATGAGAAAAGTCAAAGTTGAGATAGGAGATAAGAGACGATATTAATGTTCTGTTTATGAACGTTGTAGCGATCAAAAAGTGGCAATGTTAATGTGCAGTTTATTTTGAAAGCCTATCTCAAATAAATTCAAAAAAATATATAAACGATCTTAGGAAAATCCGTTCCGCTTTCTGCATATCTCAGGAGATGCTCCAAGCGTCAGAACTTTTCAAATGCATTTAATAAAATATATAAATACGCAACTTTGCCACCATTTCGGAGATCGCAATGGTGAAATTATGACAAACTTGTTTCTCAAATCATTCTAGAACAAACTAGGTAGATATCCTTGTACCATATGCTATAAAATTATAAAAACAACGAATATTTATCGACAAAGAGAATAAACATGATATGCTATATCTCAAGCTATATCAACACTTTTCTTTTGAAGTGGGATATTAGAATACACTAAAAGATGTACAGTGATTCATTTAAAAAAATCGTTTCTGTTGTCATGTCGGTATGAATTATCCTGTAGGGAGCGATTTATTCCAAGTATGTTTTATAGTAATGGAGATATTGCCCAAGTACATTCTGAAAACTGACCCTTTATATCTAATTTGTTGCAGCAGTTACGTCGCTGGATAGCTTGAGCTTTTTTGGAGATTTTTTTTGTTAATCACTACAAATATTTCTTTCTATCTCATTGGTTCTAATTTTGAAGGTGTTTTCATCCCTCTACCAGTTATTCTATAGGCTTATAAGTTCAATCAAAAAGTAACCCAGAATTTTTTATTTGGAGCTTACATTTGGCTAGTTAGCAAAAGTTTTTGTGACTTTTATAGATAATATATTGCAACAGCAGTATCCCGATTTATTTATGCAGATTCCACTCCACATATTTTCGAATTGCACACCTCGTGTTGCTTGTGCTGTGTTTGGAGCTATACAAAAGTGGATGGATAATTAGAATGTGAAAAAAAGTTTTGCCGGATTTCACAATCTGAGGAAATTTATAATTGCGTTCAAAATCATCAGACTTGAAAAAACAAGATAAAGTCATGTTTGTGGGAGTTATAGATTTACCACTACCATTACACAGGCCCGTCAAATTTTCTTCTCCAGTGAGACTTTTCACGTTATAGAAGGACCAATGATTATATTGTTTTTTTGCGGTTACTCTATCGCAACAAGGCCGATCAGCAAAAACTATAAGTATTTGTCTCTCTATAATAGAGAGGACCAAGAATTACCTGACGAACGCCACAATAATGTAAATACTATGTTATATCTGAAAATTATTCTTCCATTGGAAATTTTTCGCGACTACAGTAGTGGTCTATTGACTTGGCTGAAACAATGAGCGACCTATTTTAATATTGGAGGATGTGTACGCCCAAAAAATGAGTATGTAAAATTTACAGTATAGCAAATGACTAAATTGTTACTTAAAAACGCATCTAACGTGCAATATTTGCTTGGATGTTTCAAAAAAGTAATATCTTAGTTGGTTTTCCATATTCATATGAATTGTCAAATCATCGTGGAATACTCTATACAAATGGGTGAAACAATGGAATGCAAATAGAAATAAAAATATTAAGCACAGTTGTTATATTTGTGGAACTTCCACCAAGGCTGAAGGTGCCCCCCCCCCCTTCCGTTTTGAGCTGGGTACGCCTTTGTAAAGAGCTCTACAAAATTTATCTTGCCTAAATGCATATGGGCAAAAGATACATTTCATGAATCTGTTGTTTGATGTCCTATGACATTTGTGACGTCAAATTAAGAATGTGTAACGACTGCTGGGAAAAACTCTTTCGGACGACCACGGAACCGGCCAAACATTTGAGGACACGGGGACCAAAGGGACCGACAGCAGCTGTTGCAACTGTAAAATCTGTTCTAACGCACTATACAGCCTATTTTATATATTATCTCAAGGTTTGAGGGAAAACATGTTTATAAATGGAAACAAAAATACCTATCGCTTACCAGAAAAAATCGCATGCTTTTTTTCATGGGCGCCCATTAGGGAGCATATGCCCCCCAGATTTCCGCTTGAGAAGTAAAATATAGCCAAAAGGTATCCGTTTCTTGAAGAACAAGTGGCGTGTGTGTTTATTTGGTTTTCAGAACGTCTGCAAAAATTATCTTGCTAGATATGGGGCTTGATTCTAAATGAGTTTCGACCGTTGAAATTGATTTTGATGGCGCCTTGTGACGATATAAGTACTTGATGATTAGCTATGATAATTTTGACATTGAATATGATCAATATAATCAGATTTAACAAAGAACGAAGGTCCAACGGACCTCTCTGATTGACAATGACGAATAGAATATAATCAGATGTCAAAATTATCATAGCGAATCAAGTAAGTATATCGCCACAAGGCGCCATCGAAATAAATTTCAACAGACGAAACCCATTTATAATCAAGCCTCTCATCTCCTCACCAAGTTGTCTAATTTTTATTATTGATGGAGGAGCATATTCACTGCACTATTTTAAAGAATGATGAATACCATATATATATACTTATATATATATATATATATATATATACGAGCCCCTTGCCACTTCAGTTGGTCCACTTCAAGATTTGTACCAAAATATGCCTTTATAAACTAAACATGACGAAACTATTTACTTCTAAAACAATTTATTTTCTCAAAAACATTTTAGATACACTCTAGTAGTAAAAAATACATATCTGAAATCATTTAGGCCCGTATCGTCAGTCGTCCCTACAATTGTAGGGCGGCTTTATATAATATATATAAACATCTATTTGCATCAAATTGTGCTTGCTTTTGAGTTTTATCATGTTTTATCAGCCTGAAATTTCCTACAATTTAAAAGGAAAACATATCTTAACAATAGGAGAGCGCTGACGCTGACACGGGACAACTGACGATACGGGCCTATGACTTAAGGCCCGTATCGTCAGTCGTCCCTACAATTGTAGGGCGCGTTTATGGCCTCCTTGATTGTAATATTCTTTTCTCTCCTTCAAAAATTTCTAGATTACATATAGATATGTTTTCTTTTTAAATTGTAGGCAATTTCAGGCTGATAAAACATGATATAACTCAAAAGCAAGCACAATTTGATGCAAATAGATGTTTGTGACATAACCTCAAAATAGAGTTCTGACACGGAGAAGTAGAAAACTATGTCAATCAAGGAGGCCATAAAGGCGCCCTACAATTGTAGGGACGACTGACGATACGGGCCTTAGACCTATAACTAATAGGAATATCTGAAGAAATAAACAATGTGCGAATAAATGCGCGAAGTTAACAAAGCAACAATTGAAAGATTACCATTGGGTAACATCTTTATTTTTTATTACGGCTGAAATTCTTTGGGGCATAGTGTTAACCAAGTTTTGGCAAACATTTGGTATTAAACAATCCCATATTTCTTGAAGCTTTTGTCTCAGTTCGGTGATTGTACGAGCAGCATGTTGTCGTAGAACCTTTTTCATCTCGTGCCACAAAGTTTCAATAGGTGACAGATCTGGACTGCTAGAAACCCATTTCAAAAGTGGTATATTATTTTCTTCCATCCATTTTATAGCCTTTTTTGAGGTATGGCACGCTGCACCATCCTGCTGAAACACAAAATCTTGGCCGGATGTCAAACATTCTTCCATCACTGGTAAAAGCGATTCTTCTAAAATTGCCAAATATTTGTTTGTATCCACATTCCCATCAATAAAATGAAGTTTTCCTACTCCTTTTGATGACATACTGCCCCAGACCATATGTAATGGATGCTGGAAATTTCACTTTTCTCTTCAGACAGTCAACATAGAAAGCTTCATTTTTTTTGCGAATAACTCTACTGCGACTGTCACCAACACAAACTTCGAATCGGGCCTCATCACTCCATTGTATTGCACACCATTGTTGAGGTGTCCATTGTCTATGTTCTTTAGCCCATCTAAGCCGATTTTTCTTTTGCAGTGGGGTTAATAGTGGCTTTTCTTTGGCCTATAAACAAGTTGTACGACTTTAGGGTTTTTACTTCACTTGTTTTTATAAGAAAACTTACCTTACAAGTGCTAAATCTCAGTTTGTGGGCCTCTCTATGAGTTGTGGACCTCGAAATTCTCCTTCCAACAGCGTCACTCCACATTAATTGTAAATAATGCTCTTCGGTCGGCATTTGTGATATTACTTTTTTTCACATATCGTGGCTTAATATTAACTGCACCAGTTACGTTATATCTTCTAACAATATTTCTCACACTGTACCGCGATAAGTCTAACAAAGTTGCAATTTCTGAATGTGATTTCCCAGAATTAAAAAATTTAATTACCAGTAACCGAATTTTCTCACTAATAACCTTTCCTCTACCCCTACCCATGTTGAAAACCTTAACTACCCAAAACTATTTTAAACGTATTCTGACAGCTGTGATTAATAAAAACAATTGTCATGGTTTTTATTTTTCACAGCCACCTATGCGTTATAGACTTATTTTGCATTGAAATGAACATAGGTTGATATATGCTGTAATTGCAACATGTGTTATTTTTATGCTGCAAATTTGATTAGGGAGTGATACAGTTGGTGTTTTGTACTATATATTACCAAAATATTCATTATTAATATTTTAAACCTATAACACCCTGCTACATTTTTATTATTTGTGTTTGATAAGTTGGGCCAACTAAAGTGGGAAGGGGCTCGTATATTAGTAAATGCGTATGATTCATAGGCAACCAGGTAAGCTGCTTAGTATGTGACTGGAAGTATACTGTATCAGTAATGCGTCATGCATAACATTTAACTTTAACCTCACTCTTTCGCCACGTACAAGTTCAAAGCACAGGTTTCTTTATTTTTGTATTGCCACTGTTTTCCTCAATTTAACAGTATTTGAAACAGTATTTCTGAGTGAACATTTTTTCCTCTATTAGTTAAATCATGGTATGCTATAAAATCAGTTTAATCTATATAAACAGGATGATGAAACATTCACATATTTTAGGTAACAATAGAGCGAAAGGGCACTTTCAAGGTAGAATACCTACAAAAAATCGAGAGGGAAGTGCAAGAGCGTTGGAGAAATGAAAGAGTATTCGAGATAAATGCACCACTTACACCAAAAAAGTCTGAAGGAGAAAAGTTTTTCTGCAATTTTCCTTATCCCTACATGAATGGGAGACTTCATTTAGGACATACATTCAGTCTTTCGAAATGCGAGTTTGCTGTGAGATTCCAGAGACTACAAGGAAAAAAGGTAAAGGACCGTATTTCTAACAATCTGTTCCACTTATTCTAAGGGTACATTGTGGAATAGTTCATCTCGTCTTGAATCTTGCCATCATGCTTATCAGTGTTATCACTACTGCTACTGGGATTGCCACTTTTCTCAGGATATCTCCACCATGTACTCAGTAAAGTGAGACCTTTATCTACAATGGGATAATATGGTGAGGTATGAGATGAGGTAAACTACTCCACTTTTGTTTTTACCTTTATACTCTATAATCATTTTTGTAGGTGCTCTTTCCTTTTGGTTTTCATTGCACTGGGATGCCTATAATGGCATGTGCTGATAAACTAAAAAGAGAAATGGAATTATATGGCTATCCTCCAAAGTTTCCTGAAACTGAAGAAGTAAAAGTTAAAGAAGAGAGTGATGGCATACCAAAGGATAAAAGCAAAGGAAAGAAGGTATTTAATATTATTTAGGTCATAAATCTGTAACTTATCCACCTACGTATTTATGTTTTATTATAGAGTAAAGCAATGGCAAAAGCAGGTGCAGCAAAGTATCAGTGGCAAATAATGCAAAGCTTAGGACTAAAAGATGAGGAAATAAAAAAGTTTGCTGATCCAGATTATTGGTTAGATTATTTTCCACCATTAGCTGTACAAGATCTAAACAAGTTTGGCATTCATGTAAGTATCAAGACTAAGACAAGAAGTATCTATTAAAATAGCTTAAATATGGTTATATTTGTCTAGTAATGTATTTTCTTATTCACTACTAATAAAGCCTCTGAAGGCAACTATTTGTGGCCTGGCTATATATCTCAGATATATCATGATTATATCTTGGCAATATTGTCTGCAATGCATAGACACATACCTAGTCAGAAAATCAAGCAACATTGACTGACAAAAATGTAAGCAATGCAACAGCTTACATCAATTACATTGCATTTTGTAGGTTTCCAATAATTTGGAAATCTGTACAGCAATACATGAAAATAGGTCAGAAATTTCAAAAAGTTTAGCCAGGCTAAAAAATATTTCCTGGTTAGAAGTGCTGTAACTCGAGAAATTGTTTTTATTGACTGTCCTATTCAGTAAAAGCTTACCTATACCTAGGTAAGTAATGAAATAAAATAAACCTAGGTGTGAATGTCATTGAAAGTTATATCAAGTTCAAGTTCTTTATGTCCGTTTGAAAATAATATTTAGATTGTGAAATATTTGAATGTAAGATTCATTATGTAGCTGGGCTTGAATACCTTTGCAAGTGGGTTAATGTTGAAAAACTGCTTCTAAAGCTAGCATTAAAAAACATTTTCACATTGCCAGTTGGAATCACCTAAGTCTGATATAATTCAAGCTTGTCAGTAACACAAGGCAACTAGATATTTTTCATAGTATTTGTGGAATGGGTGAATAATCCAATTCTCAACCTAGATATTTAATGTACTGTTATTTCCTCCAAACTATTTGATCTCTGACCCGATGATATCAGATCTTTAATTATTTCTACTTTTAATTTCTTCACACAGACTGACTGGCGTAGAACCTTCATAACAACAGAAGCCAATCCTTTCTATGACTCCTTTGTAAGGTGGCAGTTTCTCAAGTTGAAAGAGCGCAATAAGATCCAATTTGGTAAAAGGTACACCATTTACTCTCCACGTGATGGCCAGCCATGTATGGACCATGATAGGGCCACGGGTGAAGGAGTTGGACCCCAAGAATACACTATTATGAAAATGAAGCTTGTTGAACCATATCCTGCAAAGTTAAGGTATGTTTCCTTCAGTAGCATTTCCACAGTTCTTTATTTCTGGCTATCAGATACTGAGTCAATCATCCATATAAATTAATGATACCATTAGGGACCATTAGAAATTCATTGTTCGAAAGAACAATCAACAATTGCAAAACCCCACTGTAGACAACATTCAAGCCGTCGTCGAGTCCAGATACAAATATATCAAAGAGGTTCGCAATGCCAAAGATCAGCACAATATAAAAGTTAGGCACAGGGCAATGTCGCAACCCAATGACAGTCGGTCTTTCTGGACTCTCACCAAGCAGATTAAAAGGAACTTCTTTGAAACTATTGTAACCGACTAAAGGCTAAGGCAGAAGAGCTAGCCAAGATCTTTGCTGCCAACTGCACCATGAACGTCCCCGAAAACGCCGAGTGTCGTTGATTCAAAGGGTACCCATTCTGCGGGAAGTAATATTCAGGCATAAAACCGTAAGACGAGTGTTCTTCTCGCTTGACATTAACAAAGCTTCTGGTCCGAACTTGATTCATGTCATTGTATTGGAGAGATGTGCAGCGGAGCTTCCTCCAGCTCTTTCGCATCTCTTCCAGGTATCTTACGAATCCGGCACCTTCCCAGAAAACAAAAAAATTGCTCATGTAGAATCTACCTAAAAAAAACGATTTAAGTCTGACCCTTACAACTATAGGCCTATAGCTCTGCTTTCTGTTATAAGTAAGGTGATGGAGAGGGCATAAATCGCGAGCTACTGGACTACCTCGAACGTCATGGCTTGACTAGGGACAGGCGGTATGGTTTTTGGCTCAAACGGATCCACAGGGGACCTCCTAGCTTACGTCACGCCTTTGTGGAGTAAACTCATCCAGTATTATGGCCAGGCTCATGTCGATGCTCTTGATATCACGAAAGCGATCGATCGGCTGTGACACGGTGCCCTCTTATGCAAACTTCCATATTATGGCCTTGCAGAGAAGCTTTGTAGATGGCTGGCTGATTTTCTCTGTCCGCAAGATATCCGTCGTAATTGACGGGTCTCCTCTTCATCCACAAAGTCAACGCGAATGTTCTCCAGGGATCGGTCTTTGCTCCGACACTGTTCCTCTTACATACCAACGACCTCCTTTCCTGTACGATCAATCCAATCCACTGCTTTGCTTATTACAGCCCTGTACATGGAGGAACTTAGCGCAACAAGCCAATTTCTGCCAGTGAGCTGGAAAAAAGAAGACTATCAGCGACTTTCTCTCTGTCATTTATAACTGATTGGGGACGCAACAATCTTGTACAGTTTAATGCTTCCAAAATGTAATACTGTTCCTTCACGAACAAAAAGCGTCCTAGTGCTTATCCGGTTTCGATGGATGGCATATTTCTGCTAAAGAGCCGTTCATTTCGGTTGGTCGGAGCCCAAATCACCGAGAACTTGATCTGGCTCCAACACATCTCGTCAATAGCGGCTGCATCTGATAGAAAGCAAGGTTTTTTGTTTAGGGCTAAGATGTACTTTTCTCCACATGAACTCTTCACTCTATACAAGGCTAAGATAAGACCTAGCCTCGAGTATTGCTTAGAGGAAGGCTATCCGACTCATCGATGACACTTCTCTGATAGACAGTTTCGAGACCCAGCCGACATTGCTCCTCAAGAAGAAGATTGTGGAACAGTCTTCACGAAGAGGCTTTTCCCAAATCTTCTAACTTAGGCAGTTCAAGAATAGGATTAACAAAATTTCAGCCGCGGTGTCTCGGCATTTAGGCTTCTGCCTGCTCGGCTGCTTCGGTATATAGAAAAATGCCTGCATATCTGCTAAGCTGGTCTGGATAATGGTCTGGTTTACAAATACCAGGAGAGAAAATGGGACCGGATTAACAAAGTTTCTTTGGGATCCTTATTGCAGCCGCAGTGTCTTGGCATTTAGGCTTCTGCCTGCGCGGCAGCGTCGGTGTAAAAGAAACTGATGGAATATACTTATTTCTTTTTTTGTAGTGCTCTGAAAAAGAAACCATTATTCCTTGTAGCAGCTACCTTAAGGCCCGAGACAATGTATGGTCAGACAAATTGTTGGTTAAGGCCAGACATGAAGTACATTGCATTTGAAACAAAAGATGGTGAAATTTTCATCTGTACTGCTAGGGCAGCCAGGAACATGTCCTATCAAGGTTTTACAAACAAAGATGGGCAGTACAATGTTGTCGCCGAACTTTTGGGTGAAGTGAGTACACCTTAAAAGTCTATAATAGTTTTACCTGGTAATCATAGTCTATTTTCACTCCATATGGTAGTACATATGTTCCTTGGAAGTTTTAACAATATCTGAGTAATTGTGTATCAAAGACTTTTTTATTGTTTGTTGTAGAACAGAATAAGTAAAATTGAAGTTGACAAATATTTTTATTCTTTGTAGGATCTTTTAGGATGTGCCCTGAAAGCACCTATGACGTTATATGAGAAGATCTATACACTTCCAATGTTGACAATCAAAGAGGATAAAGGTACTGGTGTTGTCACTAGTGTCCCATCTGATTCACCAGATGATTATGCTGCACTTGTTGATTTGAAGAAAAAACAGGCATTTAGGTAAATAACACACTACTAGCTACGAGAACTATTCTTGTTTTGATACCCCTTGCATGTTTTTTCTTCAGGGAGAAGTATGGTATAAAGGATGAAATGGTATTACCTTATGATCCTGTACCTGTAATAGAAGTACCAGAATTTGGAAAACTCGCTGCAGTTACTGCATATGAGAAGCTGAAAATTCAAAGTCAGAATGACAAAGATAAGCTACTGGAAGCAAAGGAAATACTATATCTGAAGGGATTTTATGAAGGGGTATGCGATTTTTCAAATTAAGCACTTTTAATAATCATATGTTTTTTGTATTCCTGTTTGCTCAATAGTTTTAAATCATAGGTGATGCTAGTAGGCGAACATAAAGGCAAAAAAATCCAAGATGTAAAGAAACTGATACAGAAATCTATTGTTGATAAAAATGAAGGTGCCACATATTATGAGCCTGAGAAGACTGTCATGTCCAGATCTGGGGACGAATGTGTTGTTGCTTTATGTGATCAGTGGTATCTAGATTATGGTGAAGAAGGCTGGAAAAAACATGCATTGACGGCTCTTGATCAAATGAACGTTTTTCATGAAGAGGTCAAGAAAAATTTCAGAGGTGAGATATATAATAATGAGCTTCATTAAAAATTAGTATAAATACATTTAATTTCTAATTTTTTATTGTAATTCATGATTATGTTTGATATTATTGTCAGGTTGCCTCGATTGGTTACATGAACATGCCTGTTCTAGAACCTATGGTCTGGGTACCAAATTACCATGGGATTCTCAATGGCTTATTGAATCACTCTCTGATTCTACAATCTACATGGCTTACTATACTGTAGCTCATTTTCTTCAAGGAAATACATTCAGGTACAATCTAAAATTACACATGTATTTTCTTGATCTGTATACATTTTTTAAATATGAAATGCTGAAGTTATAAGGATATGCCAGCATTATAGGTAACCTTCAGTCACAAGTTTTTTTTTCAGGGGAAGCAAACCAAATGTACTAGGCATTAAAGCAGAACAAATGATTCCGGAAGTATGGGACTATATTTTCTTCAAGAATGCCAAATACCCAGCAAAATGTGGCATAAAGCAAGAATCTCTAGATCTAATGAAGAGAGAGTTTGAGTTTTGGTATCCAATGGATGTCAGAACTTCTGGTAAAGACTTGGTACAGAACCATCTTACTTACTGTATCTATAACCATTGTGCTATTTGGCCCAATGAAGAAAATAAATGGCCAAAAGGTATGTATTGTCAATGCTTTCAATAGGTGAATTTTAACATGGATATAAAACATCTACTTGACTCAATATAGGCATGCGAGCGAATGGTCATCTTCTTCTTAATTCCGCCAAGATGTCTAAATCGGAGGGTAACTTTTTGACACTGGCTGAAGCTATTGAAAAATTCAGCGCCGATGGTATGAGACTGTCTCTGGCGGATGCTGGAGATTCAGTTGAAGATGCTAACTTTGTTGAGAGTATGGCGGACGCGGGCATTCTCAGGCTGTACACCTTTGTTGAATGGGTTAAGGAAGTCTTAGCTAGCCAGTCTTCATTGAGGTTAGTCTATTCTATTTGAATTAGAGTCGTATCATCAGTCGTTCTTACAATTGTAGGACGCCTTTATGACCTCTTTGATTTTCATAGTATTTTTCCTCCTTCAGAAAATCTCTAGATTTTGATTTTTACTATTTCGTGTCAACGTCAGCGCTCGCCTATTGTGAAGTTATGTTTTCTTTTAGAATTGTAGGAAATTACAGGCTGATAAAATTGATGATGTAAATCGAAAGTATGAAAAATTTGATGCAATTGGATATTTGTGACATAACCTTAAAATAGAGCGTTGAAACGGAACAGTAGAAAACTATAAAAATCAAGGAGGCTACAAAGGCTTCCTACAATTGTAGGAACGACTGACGATACGGCCCTTAGACCCTTTATCATGTCTGTAGCAATATCTTTACAAGAAATGTAGTTTTCTTCCATTCTTAATTGGACAACTGCAACAAATCTCGCTCTCTTCATCTATCAGCTCATTATCGCTTTTACGAAACTGATATGGAATGGAAACGGAATGTATAGTGAGAATCAACCTTTATCCACTTCCCGTTCCAAATCAACATTTTATGACGCGCTGATCTATCCGCTTCCCGTTATGAATAATAGGTATACGACTTCATATGTTTTGTTACTTGGCTGGTTTTTGGGTACGTAAAATGTTTTTACTTGACGTTTCGCCAACACGAGTGGTTGGCATCTTCAGAAGATGTTCACAGTTCGGAATACAGTAGCTCACAGGACTCTGAACTGTGAACATCTTCTGAAGATGCCAACCACTCGTGTGGGCGAAACGTCAAGTAAAAACATTTTACGGTGGTCTAACTACCAGAAAACCAACCAAACAACATTGAACTATGGCCGCGAAAGCCTTTCGCATTTTATTTATATTTTTTATTATATTTTTTAGTGAAATAGCGAAATTAAAAAAAAAACTTTTAATTTCTTATAAAGACATTGTCATACAAAAATGTTATTCAGAAATGTATGTAAATAACAAAAACATAACATAAGTAACAAAATCTGAATATTCAAATACAAATGGAACATTTAAAATTTTAACACAGTGTGATATCTTTCAAAACAGCCTACTATACATAAGGGAACATCATACTTTGTACAAAGATACCTTGTCTCTCTTCTTACTTTTCGTTTTGCGCATACAACACATACTGGTTTTCTATTATCCCGTAGTGGGTACATACTAGGAAAATCCATTTCAATCAATCATAAAGGAGAGTGATCATCTGTTGACCTACTACTACTTCCTGATAATCTATTGTAGTATTTTTATATTTTTGTATAATTTGTTTTGCTAAATCCCTTTGAAAATCCAGTAGGGCGTTTCCAATCTTCATTTTGTATATGGAATGTGAATTTATTAGAGCAATGTCTAATAAATGAAGAAATACCATTTTATGGTCCTTCTGACGGTTTCAATTGAACTTAAAATCATGTCAGTTCTATCGACTCCGCCCATATTTGCATTATAATCAATAATTCACATAGATTTTTCGACTTCTTGATCCCTACAGTTTTTCGTTACTCCCATGAGGGCTTCATGCATGGACGTCAGCATTGTGACATCTCGTTTGTCGTTCCACTTCAGGGCCAGCATATTATCAGTAGAAAAATATTGAATGGAGCCTTTGGGAATATTTTTTTTTCAATTTAGGCATGTGTTTTCTATTTTGTTTTACCGTCCCACAACAATTAATTTTATTTTCTAATAAAGTTTGAGCTAGAAGTGGGCTACTGCACCTGTTATCGATGTACAATTTATGTCCCTTATTCAGGTAGGGAAATAAAAGCGTCATTGCGATATTTCCAGATTTTACAAGTTCCTCTTTATATTGTCTTATGTTCGTTGTTGCTCCGGTATAAATTAGCAAATCCAGGACATATCCTGTTTCACACTCGACTGCAACGAAATTTTTTTATCCCAAACCGGTGCCTTTTTGTCAGAATATACTGCCTAAATTAAATGCGCCCTTTGAATAAAACTAGACTTTCATCTATTCATATATTTTACAGAGATTTATGTTTTTCTTTACTGCCTCTCTAAATGGATCGTAAACGTGTCTAATCTTGAAAAGACGGCCGTTCGGGTCTGGAGTGTTGTTGTCCACAAAATGAAGGCTTCTTAGTAACTGGAAGTATCTATCACGAGACATGATGAAATATTGGAGTTTCTATGACGATATCCTTTCACCAATAATCACTCAGTCTTTGTATTATCACTTGTGACAACAGAAAGGTAACGGCAAGAAAAACGTTTCTTCAGTATCGGTTGGATGATATTTTTTTATGTGTGATGTGATAGGCATATCAGTATGTAAATTATTACCGAATATATTAGTTTGTTCAACAATCGTTTTCATTATGTCTCGTGTACAAAAGAACTCAAATATTTCCAAGGCTGAAGGATCATCGGACAGATTATCAATGCGGCAACCTGAAGCATCGCTGACAAAATTACGAATAGTGGGCGTCAATTTTTTTTCTGCTAGTTAAACATAACGGTATCTCTTTTTATTGTCTCCTCCGGGGGTTGTAGATCAATCAAATCGTGTTTCCACTGCTATAGCCTGCAAAGGTAAAACAGTATAAGTGACTAAAATGACTTTTATAATGAATTACTTTTTGTGTATTTTTTCTGTGCAGTTTTGTTATATTTAAATCTATGTAATTATACTGTTTAAACTGTCTTTCTAAAAAAAAATAAGGCAAGTGCTTCAATTATTACCTGTAGGGATTTCTTCTTGTTGATCTTCTTGATCGGATTCAGAGATATTTTCCCATTCTTCGGCGTCGCCATCCAGGTCTCCCTCAGAATCGCTATTCTGTAATATTTCTAACAACTCCTGATCTGTTAACTCACTATGAGACATTTCGTAGATAAATATATCGTAAAATAACTAAAGCTCGCTTTCGAAGAATAATTGTCAAATAAACGTGCTGCAACTTGTCTTGACGGTGCTACCTGTGCGACGGTTCTCTGCATTCCTGTTCCCCCACCACCTACCACCGAAAAATTTCGCTTGTCTGCATAGTATTTGGTACAAACATATACAGACATATGCTGATCTACACGTTTCCCATCGTTAACCGGGACCTCTGACGATGCGTTTCCCGTATACCAGACGTTACTTTTTTTTTTTCGAATATAACCGGCTCCCATCGGGAAAGGGTTAAATTTGAATTTCTATGTTTTTTCTATTTACGGTCGCAACGGCGCAAAGTTGATTTTATTCTTAAGTCTACTGTTGCTTCATTCATATTCAACAAACATTTGATACAAACAGTTGAAGAACAAGTAACAGTGGAGCAACAGACTTCCTTAAATCAATGGAAAAAAATGTTAAGACAACTTTACAATAAGCAAAAAAATAACAGTACGGGGTTTTCAAATGTAATTCAAAACGTCTCTATTTTACAGTATTTCTAATGGTATGCCACGTGTAACATAAATAATTAGATAACAACAAAAAATAAATTTATTTTCAACGGTTCGTGATAGTTGATGCAGCCAAATCATTCCAATTACCTAATTGAGCAGGTACAAACTTCTGACTCATTCTATCACAGCTAAACCTATTGTTCTCTTTTTACTCGGTTTATTGTAAATTTCTTTCTTATTTGTCTTGTGGTATACTGTAGTGTTATTTCTCGTTTCATTACCACAAAAGCATTATTAATTTTTTCTATTAATTGTTCTCTTGTATTAACGGGTTCGGAATACACTGGTGCTGTAGCACGGCCCCAGACGTTAAAATCAAGCGGGGTCAAGTTCGGCGATCGTACAGGCCATGGGATCGGACCATCTTGTTATTTTTTTTTCAATTGATTTAAGGAAGTTTGTTGCTCCACTGTTACTTGCCCTTCAACCGTTTCTATCAAATGTTGGTTGAATCTGAATGAAGTAACAGTAGAATGGAGAATAAAATAATTTTCCGCCGTTGCGACCGTAAATAGAAAAAATATTGAAAATTGAATTTAAAAACTGGGCATTTACTCAAAAAAAAAGAAAAAATCATTATTTCTCCTTAGAACTGAGGCAAAATGTAAATTAATTAGGCTTTGTAAATAGCCAATAAATAGCCTCAGTCCTCCGCCATTTCTGTTTGGCTACTCACCCTCAAAACACCCTGTATATTGCTAATTATTTTACACCTTTGTGTAATAATGACTAAATAATATCTTCTTGAACATGAATCCTGTGACCTCCCCTGATACAAATTCTGGATCCGCCCTTGGTGGTCCCATGCTCCCCCATGTAATTAAACTGACAAGACCAGAATATCTACAATTTCAGAAAGAAAATTGTATTTTACAACAGAAATATGTTGGCCAATATACTGACTGATTTAAATTACGCGCCATTATTGATACATGCATTTCAGTAGGTGGCGTGAAATGACGTCTAATAGACATCGTTCTCAAGAACTGGTCATTCGTCGCACGTCATTATGTACTATTTAAAATAAGACTTGCATTTGCGGCCATATATAATTCAGTTAACCCAAGAACTACAGCCTAGTGACCATGAAAGTCGCCGACAATACAGTCATGCAATATTGCAGCTTAATACCCAAAATAACGATTTTTACCGACAACTGATAATGAGGGATGAAGCTCACTTCGATATGAACGGATTTGTTAATAAGCAGAATTTTCGTATCTGGGCATTAGAGAACCCTCGTGTCATCCATCAACGACCATTACATCCTCGTTGAGTCACAGTTTGGTGCGGTGTTTGGTACGGAGGTGTCATTGGACGCTGCAGGTAATTCTCTTAATGTCACTGGCGACCGCTACTGTGATATGGTGCAAAACTTTCTGGCTCCTCAAATCCAACAATTTAACTTGCAAAACTTGTGGTACCAGTAGGACGCAGTAACTCGACACACAGCTAGGGAAACAATGAATCTTTTGCGAACAATATTTCAGGGACCTTTAATTTCTCGATTTGGTGATGTCAACTGGTCACCAAGGTCACCGAATTTAACGGCTCCTGACTTTTTTATGGGGATTTTTGAAAAATAGGGTTTATGCTAACAAACCAACCAAAAAGTGATGGAAAATATAATCAAGAGGACTCAGGTTTGCGCGGCTTCTAGAGGCGCACATTTGTCTGATATTATTTTTCATACATAATTTGTAAGTTTCAATAAAATATTAAGATGAAAAAAATTGACGTATTTTTATTTCATTTGACAAATATTCAAGATACAAACAAGTCAGTTACATATCGGCCACCCTGTATTATTGGTAGTAAATATGCAGGTTTTTCTTCTAGAGATACAAGCAATTTTATTGGGTAACTTATATTAACAGTCAACGTAAATAAAAATATTTTTTTCATATACATGCAAAAAACTATGAAGCATTAGTAAAATTGTCCACGAGGAAAGTTGTGTAGCATAAAAACATCTCCAAAACGAGGCCTTATATTTTCAGTATGCTATAACCAAAATAAATTTCATTTTTTATGAGCTCTCTAGCGACGTAGTGGTTGCAGTAAATTGGGCATATGAAGTCCGACTTTACAGGTACTAAATTCCCTATAACTCTTCTATAAACCACTTAGATCAATACTTCATCGTTTTTTTAAATATATGCAAAAAGTGACCTTGACGTTTAATAAAAAAGTGGCCAACTTGTTTGTATCTCTAGACGGAAGGCCTTTTCATTTACCCTTAAGAAAATGATTCTGTAGAATCCATCTGAACAACTTTTTCTAGATCATGGTCGTTTTTGATGAGTTAGCCTGTTCTAATGGCTTTTTTAAAAATCTACAAAAGTTGACTATTTGTAGGTCGGGGCCATTCAATTCGTTCAACGATCTGGTATTCCAAAGTGAAATGAACATGAAGGTAAAAGAAACAGGAGAACACTATGACAAAATGCTGTTTAAAGAAGCCTTGAGGACTGGTTTCTTTGAGATGCAAGCAGTCAGGGACAAATATAGAGAGCTGAGTTTAGATGGAATGCACATTGAGTTAGTACTCAGATTTATTGAGGTGCAGGTCTTGCTACTGTCACCTATCTGTCCTCATGTTGCTGAACATGTTTGGCAGCTCCTGGGAAAGGTATGACTGATACATTTCACATACATTTTAGTAACTCTTTGGAGCATAGTTCGAGTGTGATCCAAAGAAGGTGTCCCAGATATAAACGTATGAACTGGAAACATATACTTTCATATGGTCACCCTTGTAAAAAACGCTGAACTATTCCCGCTCTGAGACTATATTGACAATTAAGTTTTGTAATTTTCTATGTTCTATGTGTGGAGAATGTATAATGCTGATCTTTTCACTGGCTTCAATAGTTTCCTATCTTGCCTAAAAATAAAATTAGACATTTCATTTTCAGAAAGGAAGTATACTGAACGCTCTATGGCCAACAGTCGGAGCAGTAAATGAAGTACAAGTTAAAGCCTCTGAATACTTGATGGAATCTGCGCATTCCTTTAGAGTACACCTCAAGACTTACCTGCAAGGGGTGAAAACTAAAAACAACCCTAATCCACCACCTGTAGAAAAACCAAATGTGGTTACAATTTGGGTGGCAAAAACCTTCCCTACATGGCAACAGTGTGTTCTGACTACTATGAAGAAACACTTTGAGGTAGAGGTGGTTTTTCAATATATATTTTTAAACGTCATGGTATTGAATGTTAGGAATACATTTAATATTATTGTAATGGTGAATTGGACTTTAAAATAATTAAATTGTTTACTTCCCATGCCAATTAGGAAGTTGAAGTTCCCTATAGTCGAAAGTACTGCTAGTTTTATATTATTTAGTGCAATATTTCCCAAAAAGGCCAATTTTATCATCCCTGTCCCTATTCATTAATTGCCCAGCACCATTTTCTTCTAATTCTTATATTTTTTGGCACAGGTAAACAAATTTTTCTGATATGCCTGTATTTGTACACCTAGATACAATACAATTTTTGTAAGTCAATGGTTTGACCCATTTTTACCGTAAATACAGAGCAGAACAACTTATGCGCGCGTGGTAGCGATGGTAGCTGGTGTCATGTGTCAACATCACTCAGTTTAGCGCTCCAACAAGATAATTCTCCAAATTACAAACGCCTGGGTGGCGTAACTTTGTCATTTTTTACATATTCAAAAAAATAGTTCTGTACTTCACTTTATTTAAACTATCATTTTGAGTGTGTTTAAAAAAAATAGGCAATTTCCTCTTTGGCGACGAGGTATTGTAATGAGGAATTATGTTTTTTAAATGGCATATACATCATGTAAAACCATGTCACTCATTTCCGTCTGTCTGTGAGTGTATGCCCACTAATTATTTCCAACTCTATAACTTGAAAAGGATGTTGCTGAAAGTTTCTTTACTAATATACTAAGGAGAATCGCCCAAAGTTTTCGGACGTTTCAGAGGCTTCTGTTCATTATCAGAATTTTATTTATTTGTTGAAAATTGAGGATGGGTGTTGTAGGCGGCATGGGGTTAAATATGTTGCATCTATGGTAACAGTGACATGTTCTATTATTCAGAATCTTCCGATCCCTGTGTAATACTCATCTGCAAGATATAATTGTCATACATATATAAATTAAGACGCTGATATTGGATACCAAATTCAGCGCTGACACGAGATAATTGATTGGATTTGACGTAAAAGGTCTCGTTACTTTTCCATAAAAGGGGTATACCTATGCGCGTCCCACGTTCACGGCGAAAATTGGCGGAACATAGGCGTGCGGCGTATATTTTACCATGGTTTGGCGGAAATTCCTGTGGCAACGTTAAGAATATCTGAGCCATTGCTTTTGCATTATTATGCCATAAGTAAATTTAACTACGCATTTACGCCTTATATCAGTTTTAGCTGTGCCTGTTATTTGTTATACATCTGCCTAGCTAACTCTTTTCCGAAATAGGCGTTAGTTTGATCTACCTTTGTTTTAGCAGCTACGACTACAGCACAGTAGTACTACACTTTATATAAACAAGAATACAAAACGGCCATGGTAATTATATTTAGTATGATAGAAATATAAGTAGACCGATTCTATGTCTCTTGTGGTTTGGGTGGAAAGTACAGAATCAATCTACTTGACGATATTTTTTATATTTACAGAAGAGTGCTTCTCTACCAGATAACAAAGTTCTTTCTGGCGAATTTGGAAAAATGGAAGAACTCAAGAAGTACATGAAGAAAGTAATGCCTTTTGTTCAAGCAACTAGGGAAAAACTGGATCAATTGGGAGTAAAAGCATTAGCTTTAACCCTAGAGTTTGACGAGGCAGAAGTGCTCAAAAATAATATTGCCTATTTGGCAAATACTTTAGAAGTATGTATTAGGTTGACAAAAGTGGGGTTTTTTATTCTTAGAAATTATTTTTTTAAGTGAGATCTAACTACTGGGGTCCGATTCTAGACTGTTGAACTGGGTCCAAGCAATAATCTTCAAGGATAATAATTTCTACTTCACATTTTTATTTTTAAATCTCCAGTACGTCTTATTTCAGGTAGAAGAAGTTCTAGTTAAATACACGGACGACCCAGAAGCAACTGAAAAAATGAAAGAATGTTGTCCTGGTTCACCATTTGTTTTGTTTTCAACGAAACCTGGCGTGAAATTAGATTTTGTAAACCCTGTGCCTTTAAACGGCCTGCTCTCTAAATCATTAACAGTTAGTGATGGAGATACGGTATCAAAGATCACCCAGAGGATAGCCAAAGACTCGAAACAAATCAAAAGTAGGTTCCTTTCTTTTAATTTTTAGGTTACGTTAAAAAGACTAAATTCGGTGCCTTGACTAACATTGCCATTGCTTCTTCAACTAATTAGAAATTGTAATTTTTGTTTTTTGCAACGTGTTTTACTCCGAGAGCTGACACAGACAATTTTGGGTAGACATTTGGGACACGCTGAAACCGTGCCTAATCTCTCTCCTATAATACCAAAACAGAACTGCAGACCTGGCTGGGGGGTAGCGAGGCTAAATCATCCCTTGTTTTTAAAAACGCGATTTTTTGCAAAAAATTATTTTGAGGCATTTCTAATTTTCATACCTATAAATTTGACATTCAAAGAATGGAAAAATAAATAATCCAAATCATATAGCCAGGACATGGGGGCATACAATTAGTACACCAATGTTTGTGGGAAAACTTTTTATTTGACAACAGATAATGAAAAAACATGTTTTTTGGGATTCAATCGAAAGTGTTGACAGGAACGAACAAACATTTCATATAAGATTTTTATGTATTTTAGAGACCTACAAAATGAAACCACACGTAAAAAGACCCGACTAGTAACAAAAATGTTATGGCTGAAAAACGAGGCCAAATGCAGGTTTTTGACACTTGGTGGTAATGCGACGATAATTTCACGCAACTACTTGAAATTGTTCAAATCCGTGAGATTCATACTTCTCAATATCAACAACAAAATTGGAGTATATTGGTGAAGTAGTTTCTTGAGAATTTCTAATTGTTTATCCAAAAACACCTGTTTTCCGGCCAATACTACTAGTTTATTGAGCAATATACAGGGTTTGTTCCAAGAGCATTCAATCTAATAAATACCTAAAAATCTTATATAGAGTTTTTTCGTTCTTGTCAACACTTCCCATTGGATCCACAAAAACACGTTTTTTCATTCTTTGTTGTCGAATTAAAAGTTTTCCCAAAAAAATTGATGTACCCATTTTATGCGTCCATGTTTTAAATACCCCCTTGAACAACTTCCAGCAATAAAACCAGACTTTACAATTATTTTGCAAACCAGGGGTATTTTCGTCTACTTGCAAAGCTATTTTCAAAAAAATTGTACAAACGTATTTGAGGCATGCTGAAATTTCAATAGGATATTATTTATAATTAAAAGTAAATATGTAGTATATCATTTCGATGAAACAATCTACCTTCCAGGTGGAGAGAAAGTAGCGTATGCATGTGAGTGAGAAGTGCTACACTGCCATACTTCAGTAAAATTAATTTAAATCACAAAATATATAATTAATCACGTTATTTAACAAAAATATTATTTTTTTCACGTTGTCAGATATTTCATATTTATTACATTGCCTAAATATAAAAGCAGTAAATCAATTTTTCAGAGTAAAAGAGTTTTCAAACTACGTATAATGCTTCTATTCTGCGTATGGTACAAGTACTGCCTTATTACCCTTCATACTCTTAACATGTTTAGTTTTTTTATGTAATAATTCTGTTATTTGTGAATAAGTATTTATGGTTATAAATAATTGCTTTTTGAAAAATATTCTTTGTTTAACTTGACGTATACGAAAACATGCTGTTTTCAGTTTATTTATATAATTATTTTTGTTGCGTGTAATTATTGGATGTATTTATATAATTATTAAATTGAATTATAAGATGTTGAAAAGATTTACTTTTGACCCAATTTTACTATTTACCGGCGGGATCTAAAATCTTGATCCGGATCATAACGGACCAATGAGAAGGCGTCTTTCTAGTAATGGATCAGATCAATATAGTCGATTTGTTCTAAAATATCTGTCAACCCAGCGAAAAAATATACGAGTTGTGTTAGAAGAATCTGAATTCTAATACACACCCCATCTCTAACCGACAAGCACAAGACATGAGGGTTTCTATTTTACAATTTACAGACTTTGTTATTATAGACCTTTCTTTCTGTTGTAAAATTTATCTGGTTTCTATCATTTTTTCTAGAATTTAATAAAGCACAGGCAACAGTATACATTCGTCTAAACCAGATGCAAGTGGTTACAATAATTGTAACTCAGAAACATCTCTATTTACCTTGAAGGACGACATGCGGATTATGTACAGCAGCAAAAACATGTGATAATGGAAGAAAATTAAGTTTGTTGAAATCTAGACTTAATTAACAACCGATATATTCTTTTTTCAGATGTATCAAGTGCTTATGTTTGAATTTGGTTCTATGATCTACAAGGTGGATATATGATACTTGTCTCCAGTTGGCCAATTTTTGATTGCAGTTTTACGAAAACGCTCACTAATTGGTCATTGTTGATCCGGATCATAGGTTTTTTCTCCGGATAAACTGAAAAAATAAGTTTTTGTAACTAAACCAGGTGATGTATAAAGAATTTCTTGATTATATGTGGGGATTACCCTTCGTATATAAATAATATATTTTGAGAGATATGTTAGAAAAAATCGACTATGTTCATTAAATCCATGACTAGAAAAATGCCTTCTTATTGGTCCATTTTCCAAGAATTTTGATTTTCTGTTAGCAAAATTGGGTCTAAGAATATAAGGGTTGATTTCACCTGCTACGCCCCAGCCAGGTCTGCAGTTGTGTTTTGATGTTATAGGAGAGGGATTAGGGATGTTTTCAGCGTGCCTCAAACACTTGCCCAAAATTTTTTATCAACTCTCCTACTGTTTTTTCCAGAACCAGAATCGATACAGCTTTGGAGATTCGAAAATCTAGAAGTTGAACGCAAGATGCCAGTGTTCAATGAACCAACAAAGTATAAGGTTATGATAGCTAAAGATGCCGTATTTAAAGTAGATCTTCAAAAGAAAAAAGTGTTTGTGCAAAATGGGAAGAATTCGGTTGATGTCGGTAGTCAAGTAACTTATATTGTTGTTTAAGTTGTTCCTACTTAAGTGGAGTTTTTGTTTTTTCCCGAGATTTAATGTTTGATTTGATCATGGAGGATGTCATAAAGATTTATTTATCCTGTGGGCAGTAATAAACCTTTTTTATAGTACCTTTTCTGTGAAATATTTGTCCCATACACTTAATACTGTCCACCTTAGGCAGGTGTAGCAAAAATAGGCATTTCTCACAGAAACCAATAGGAAGAATATTCACAATTTGTTCCAATAAAAATTCTTTATTTTAAAACATTTTTACTTACAATATCTAGAAAGACTAGATGAGATACTTAACATTTACAATTTTAGACTAGACTTACGTTTGAGGAAGGAACGAGAAACTCTTCTTCAAAAGAAATATTTACCCTGAAAAGTGGAAAAACAGTATATTAGCTCTAAAAACCCATGTATGTTTAAACGTAGTTTCAACCGACTATGCATACATTGCTTAACAACGAAACAACTCCAAGAACTTGTGTAATAATATTTATAAATTTATATCAAATCTGTACCTATGTATATGTTAATTCATTTCCCGACATTTGGCAAGTCAAATTAAAACTACAACTACATACTTTTATACATTCATCTCCCTCACACATATATATGCAATCTGCCTCTGTGCGCGAATGTTTGCTTGTGTAAGCCCAGACGTACTTCGGCTCGCCAACGTATGAGTATTCCTAATATATGCTTGTCACTGTAAGTGTTGCAACCCACTTGAGATGGGCGTACCATTTTGAGTTTACCTTTTATTGATTTTCGTAATATGAAATAAACTACCTGAAACTACGACTAACGGACAATATCTATAGTTTTTGTCAAATATTTTTATTATGCTTTATTAATCGATTCATCTGTACGGTGTGCAATTTTACTATGGAGTTTCAGCTCCACACATGTTCAGATATTCGATTTTCTTATTTAGTTCGTATGGCATTGATGACGTGACCGCCAAAAACCGTGAATAGAACTATAATAAACTACAAAAATTGTTATGATATCAAGTTCTTATTTACAAAAAAAGTTATAAGTAACGTTTATTAATCATATGTATAGCAAATATTGCTGGTAAAATTGCTATAAAAGATTTACCTCGAAGTGACTGTAGGATTCCACATAGTTGCTTGTGTGCAGCATCAATTCTAATTCTCGTATGTACTTGATGGCACTTTGTAAAGTTTTTACTTTACTGATCCTTTTTCCTCTGTAAATAAAAAAACATATATCAACAATTATCCATCCCATCCCATCTAGTTGTCACATGGTGACTGAGTATTAATCGCGAAATGAGATATTTACAGTTCCATTAAATATCTGCTATGCGCTCTCCGCAGTGATCGATTCTGGTGATAGATGGAGCTTTGCTCTGTCTTATTTCGATAGACTGTACCTTCTGGATAGAGGATGGTTGCGATGATTTCTTTCGTTAACCCAGAGAGGAGAGATCAAGCCTAGACCATGCTGATGACTAACCAAGAAGCACGAAACAGCGGTACATGGTTGGCTGTCTTTTGGTCGGGCGGACGAAAGAAAGCATGTTTAATTAACGATTCTGCAGATTTACGAATTCATGAAATTTATAGAAATAATAATCAGTATGCAAAAGGTTGTCTAAGCAGCCGGAACGTAAGTGGTGTTTTCTTGATTAGGTCATTATATTGGTTATAAACAATACTGAGGAATGCAGAATCAATATCAGAATGAGTCACAAAAGCTACAATATTATCGCTCCGTTCAGGTTATTTGGGACTTGTGTATTAAGACTGACACAGCACTGCTTTTTGTACTTCGAGAATTACTATGTTTCTAGATCTAACTCGCAGCGAGGCTTCTTGCAGTTCTGTTCACGTGTTAATTTTACCAGCAATCCCTTCATACGCAAGTCAAATATCAACAAGCTTAGGAGCTATGATCAGACAACGTAACACGTAGAAATAAAATTAGTGTGAGATGTGGTTAACATGTTTTATTATGAAAAATATAAAAGCTAAGGTTGATATTTATTAAATCTGTCAGTCGTAGCCATTTCTGGCCAGCCAATAATGCAAATGTTTTTTGACATGTTCAAAGGTCGTCAACATACATGCACTGGCAGGGATTGCTCTAATCAAAGTGGGGCGCAGACCCGTGTAAAATGCGAGTATTCCCTCGTCCCTAGAACAAAAAACATGGCCATTAAAGGTCTATGTATTGCTTATTTGGGGTTGTGGAGTTCGAAATTTTATCTAATTTTCATTATATACATTAAAAAATATACAATATTTCATTGGGAGTATTTGTATTTACCACAATAGTGCCATTAAAGTGTACATATTTATTTTAGAATTTACGTTTAAATTGATGTCTACTATAATAAGTAGTTCAAATGCTGACTGCTTCCATCATATACACACATGAACACAACTATTGAAAAATCTAAATCTAAGGATTTCGAAGTCATCCGTACCTCAATCGCTTTTTCATACACCACAAAATATGTTTCAGCAACTTTTTTAATTTTTCTCACAATAATAAAAATGCGACAAAATACCGGAGCATCTTATCTAAAAATTAGTTGATTTAGATATGTTTAATTATCTTCGGCCTTTGCACTATTTTTCATTTAGGTAGACGAATACTCTTTTGATTGGCCTATAAGAAGTTACTGCCTATTACGTATATATTCCTGCTGGCTAACTCGATTCCTGAAGATTTGTCGCTAGACGGATGTTCATTTATTTACAACTTAGTTGTTATTTATATAAATTCGTGAACGTTTTTGGTGGTTTTATGAAAATTATCGACTGAAATTAACATATGTGCAGGAAACACTTGAAATTAGTGTATGTGAGTGAAATTAACATTCGTTAATATTCTTTCATGTAAAAATGGCAGTGATTTTTCTGAACAAAAAAATCTTGATGGATATGAGATACGACTGCGTAGAAATGAAGCAGTGGTTGAGTTTAGATGTATTGTTGATTGTTGTCTACATCTATAATTATTTTATGACTAGAGGCTGGCTTTCCTCTCATATGAATTGCCCACCTAAATGATATTCAAATATTTTGGTAACGACTTCGAAGTTCTAGATGTAGGTTCTAGCTAATATTAATGGTATGTTCAAGGTGGATTATTTGATTTCCATCTAATTTATTTAGACAATATTTCGGATTGATAACGATTATAAGGAATACGACGAAAAAAATATCGAGTTGGCAGCGTCAAGTAGATTGACTTGGTACACCTTAAAAGTGGACATAATATCAAAAAATACAGGTACATTTTTAAGGAATACAAAAAACTTAACTGCAGCAGCTCAACAGAATGAAGCTTTGGTTGTGCCTTCAAATATCAAATCATGACCCCAGACTAAATTGGAGGCGTATAAATTGGCTTTGTAGTTGTTAAATGTTATGTTGAATCTTGGTTCAAACAAATTAGGATATTTACACCTCTATAGAAAATGAAATGTCACTATACACTCACGAAAAATATCGTGTTTGTAATTAAATTGAGTTTATTTTTGAATTAGTCAGATTCGTCTCGTATAAATTCGGTTAAGTTGATCATATTTAGTCTCAGATACATCTGCATACCTTAGTATTTTATAACCCACAACAAACATATTATCCTTCGTAGCTGATACTTGTATTCTTGATTTAATTACATCTATTGGAAAAGTGCTTGCCCAAAACATCCCTCCAGCTGTTGAACCCGCAATCATCGTCTTCACTGGACCTATTTCATACTTTTTCTGATCTGGACGCCTCAGTGTATTCCTCATGTCTATCAAATCAACAGAATACTATTTAAACTATCGACTATAGGGTATTTTGTTTTCTTTGGTTTTGGCTCCGCAGTCACTGGTCCGAAAAAAAATTCTGTACTTTCCCAGTTATATATCAGCCAACGATGTTGTGCGTGTACAGGGTTCTCCCCAAGCTGAGCCAATATATTTACATCAGAAATTACTAGGATTAGTTGAAATCTACGTTAAATTTCAGTTAAAAAGCTCTCTCTCTCTCTCTATATATATATATATATATATATATATGAGTATATACACACAGCGTGGCCCAGCCATGTGTGGACGGAATATTACTCATAAACAAATACATTTTGAGAAAATCTATTTATGGGATGTTATACATGACATTTGAGGGCACATTTAGCTAAAATATTGACCGTTGACCTACATATCAAAGTTGTGATTTTTCAAATGGAATGCCTCAAGTTTTATTGCAAATTTGGATAAACCAATTCAAAAGAAAAAAAATTGATATGACATACTATGGGGTTTTGGTAATTAGCTACTAAGATATAAAGTGTTTTGTTTAGAACAACCCCCACTTCGGCAACCCGTCAGTCTTGCATTTTGAGACATGGAATTCTGAATTTTGTAACAAAAAAACTTACACACCTCAGCTCTTATCTTATTTGTTACTTTTTCGAATTTTAATTCTTGCTCATACGCAAATTGTAGTTTTTCTCAAAAATTTCAAATGCATCACTCTGTATATTTGTGCAAGTTTAGATTCAATTTTTTATGAGCTTTTTTTATACTAGACACATGAGGGTTTTTACGGCTATTTTTTCTGTTATTAGCCCGTCTTTTATGGAGCGGCTTAATTCCTCAAAATATCGCATCATCCTTGGAAACAAATAAAATGTTGATTAGTTACAAGCTGTCAAAATTAGCTTAGTGAGCATTATAATAAAAACGTGTTTGAAAATAAATTTTTCTAAAGAAGAAATGGTGAATATGGTGTTCGTTTTTGGCGAAGCCCAAAGAAATAGTTTCCTAGCCTCTCGAATTTATAAGCAACGGTGCCCTAATATGCGACATCCAAGGCCGGAAATATTTTCCACACTACGAGAACGTTTTGAATCAAGTGGGGCAGCGGAATATAGTAAAAAATGTATAAATAATCCAAGTGTCACCAATGAGGCGAATCAGTTGAAGGTTCGATTGAAGTTGCAGGAAAATCTCCATTTAAGTGCGCGGCAAATTGGAGCAGAAACTGATATATGCAGAACTTCGATTCAAAGGATTATTCACAAGCAAAGGTACCATTCATATCACCTATGATTGCATCAATGCCTTCATCCTCAGGATTTCGCAGCTCGAATGGAGTTTAGAAAAATAATGCTAAATAAAGTGAGTGAAGACACAACTTTCCTGGATAACGTTCTTTTTAGCGACGAGGCAACTTTTAATAGCATAAGCGTTGTCAACAGGCATAACATGCACTATTATGCGACAGAAAACCCTTACTGGGTTAGGCAAATAGATTTCCAAAATAAATGGAGCCTGAATGTTTGGGGAGGAGTTATTAGCAGACAAGTTATCGGGCCTTCCTTTTTCGACAACAGATTAACAGGTACAGAATACTTGAATTTTTTGATCGCGCGTTATCATAATCGTGTGCGTAACACCTGGAGTAACAATCGTTGGATCGGTCGTGATGAGCCTATATCACCAGATATGACATCGATGGACTTTTACGTCAAATCTGTACTCTTAGTGGCAATATGGAACTAGCCCACTGTTTGTCTTTTGATTCCATGGATGATGAGATTATTTTCCTTAATTTTGCTGTGTTGTTCTATTAAAAATAACTCTAAATTTAGTGATTTTATCTGAATCAAACCTTATACCAGAAAAGCTTGTAAAAAATTGAATCCAAACTTGCACAAATATACGTGATGCATTTGAAATTTTTGAGGTAAAAAGTACAATTCGCGTTTTTGACCACCCTGTATGAGCAACAATGAAAATTCGAAAAAGTAACAAACAGAATAAAAGCTGAGGTGTGTAAGTTTTTTTTGATACAAAATTCAGCACTCCAAATTTCAAAATGGCGGATTGAGGGGTCGCCGAAGTGGACGGTTTTTCTGGACAAAACACCTTACATCTCAGTAGCTAATTACCAAAACCCCATAGTATGTTATATAAATCTTCTTTGAGGCATTCCATTAAAAAAATCACAACTTTGATATGTAGGTCAAAATTGGGACACACTGTATAATTGCCAATATTTTAGAAATGTGTCCTCAAATGTCATGTACAGCATGCCATTGATAGATTTGCCCAAAATGTATTTGTTCATGGGTAGTGTTCCATCCACACATGCATGGGCCACCCTGCATATATATATATATATATATATACAGGGTGGCCAAACACGTGACGTCATAAAAAAAACTAGATTCCCCACATCGAGAGGAACCCAAATCACCCCCATATATATGGTCCGATTTTGTTTAGTTTAGGAGTTATGAATTTTTTTCGGATTTTTCGAGAATTTTTGAGTTCTGTGTTTATTTTTACCATAACTTCGTTAATAATTGTGATAAATGCCTGCTTTTTTCACGATTATGTAGCTAAGACCTAAGGCTTAACTATCATATAATCATTCAAGTCATGTAACTAATACTACTTTTTAATTTTTTTCAAAATCTTCGAACATAACAAAAAAGTAAAAAAGTGCAACAACTTTGAACGTTTATAAAAAATTGAAAAAACATGTTCTTACTATTCGTAAGTATCTTAAAAACTTCCTTACGGTATCAGCTATTTACCGTAAAAATTTCATCAACCTAGCTTTACTACATGCTACCGTAATTGTGGCTCAAATAGAACCGAACCCAAAATTGGATAACCCTCTGCTCAATAGAAATTGTTAGTTTCGGAAAAAAAATTTGCAAAAACCACAAAAACACGTTTGATTTTTACTGAACAGCAGATTATTATTCATTTATGTTATTTACAAGAGGTTTTCAAAATGTCTGCCTCTAACAGAAATGCACAGTGTACACCTACGTATGAAATTTTGTTTTAAATCTCTAAATGCTTGTGTGTTGTTTTTCAACACATGTGTCGCTTCTTGAATTTTGTTCCTCAATGAATTTTCATTTGCACATTCTTGGGCGAATGTTATGTCTTTAAAATATCCCCAAACAAAAAAATCAATGGGGTTGAGGTCAGGGGAGCGTGGAGGCCATCGTATCGGTCCGTTTCGTCCGATCCATCTGTCTGGGAACCTTTCGTTTAAGTAGTTTCGCACGATCGTTGCGTTGTGGCATGGTGCACCATCATTCTGGAACACCATGTTCCGTCTGGCTTCCAGGCTTGAATCTTCCATCAATAATGGTAGGCTATTTTCAAGGAAGCTTTTGTAGGCTACCGAATCCAACCTTGACGGCAGTTCAAATGGACCGATAAATTCCATATTGAATATTCCTGACCACATGTTCACACTAAAACGGTGTTGAAATGTCGACGGCCTTGACTGGTGGGGGTTTTCAACAGCCCAAGTATGTAAATTATGGATATTGAATATCCCTGTTCTTTCAAAACGTGACTCGTCAGTCCATAAAATTTTATCAAAAAAATCGGGATCCTCTCGTTGTCTTCGCAGCATTGTCTCGCAGAAATCCACTCTTAACTGGTAATCTGAAGGCATCAACGCTTGAACTCTTTGAACATGATAGGCATGATAACCTTCTTCATGAAGAATATTTTGTATCGATGTTCGTGGTATTCTAAGGTTTTGTGCCATAGATCTCGTACTCGTTGAGGGATTCCGGCTAATTTCTTCAAGTACTACTTCTCTGCGATCCGGATCAGCTGTAGGATATCCTTCATTGCTTCCTCGTCCTGGAATGCGGCCTGCCATGAAAGTGTTATGTGTGTTAATAAAAACACGGTGGTCTGGGTAATGCTCAGGTTGTGGTCCGCCTCGGCGTATAAGTTGTTCCCGGTACAGCTGAGCATGACCCAGACCACCGTGTTTTTATTAACACACATAACACTTTCATGGCAGGCCGCATTCCAGGACGAGGAAGCAATGAAGGATATCCTACAGCTGATCCGGATCGCAGAGAAGTAGTACTTGAAGAAATTAGCCGGAATCCCTCAACGAGTACGAGATCTATGGCACAAAACCTTAGAATACCACGAACATCGATAAAAAATATTCTTCATGAAGAAGGTTATCATGCCTATCATGTTCAAAGAGTTCAAGCGTTGATGCCTTCAGATTACCAGTTAAGAGTGGATTTCTGCGAGACAATGCTGCGAAGACAACGAGAGGATCCCGATTTTTTTGATAAAATTTTATGGACTGACGAGTCACGTTTTGAAAGAACAGGGATATTCAATATCCATAATTTACATACTTGGGCTGTTGAAAACCCCCACCAGTCAAGGACGTCGACATTTCAACACCGTTTTTGTGTGAACATGTGGTCAGGAATATTCAATATGGAATTTATCGGTCCATTTGAACTGCCGTCAAGGTTGGATTCGGTAGCCTACAAAAGCTTCCTTGAAAATAGCCTACCATTATTGCTGGAAGATTCAAGCCTGGAAGCCAGACGGAACATGGTGTTCCAGAATGATGGTGCACCATGCCACAACGCAACGATCGTGCGAAACTACTTAAACGAAAGGTTCCCAGACAGATGGATCGGACGAAACGGACCGATACGATGGCCTCCACGCTCCCCTGACCTCAACCCCATTGATTTTTTTGTTTGGGGATATTTTAAAGACATAACATTCGCCCAAGAATGTGCAAATAAAAATTCATTGAGGAACAAAATTCAAGAAGCGACACATGTGTTGAAAAACAACACACAAGCATTTAGAGATTTAAAACAAAATTTCATACGTAGGTGTACACTGTGCATTTCTGTTAGAGGCAGACATTTTGAAAACCTCTTGTAAATAACATAAATGAATAATAATCTGCTGTTCAGTAAAAATCAAACGTGTTTTTGTG